TGGTGGCTCACAGACTTCTATAACTCCAGTCCCAGAAAATCTGATGACCTCTTCTGGCCTTCATGAGGACTGCCTACACATGTACAGACAAACATTCAGACACACACTCATATACATGAAATAAGAATACAATCTCAAAACAGTGAAAAAGAGACCAAAGTTAAAACTGAAAGCATCATAATAGGAAAAGATAATCAAGGCACTTGATCAGAGACTGAGGCTCTGATCTAGGGCCTGCATTCTTTTTTTTTTTTTAATAAAATTTTAAATAAAACCATAAACATATCACAGGCCCCATGCATGATGGGTCACTCCTTTAATCTCAGTACTCAGGAGTTTGAGGCCAGCCTGGTCTATGTAAGAAATCCCAGGCCAGCCAGTGTTTCCTAGTCAGATCCTGTTGTTTTTAACCATCACATAGCTTTTTAAAGGAAGCTTCTCAAAAGCTTACCCAGTTCTGAAGTCTGTGCATCTCTGTGAATGTCTGTACTGTCAGAATGGACATTCTGAAGCAGTGGAATTTCTCTTATGGTTATTTACTTTGACTTATTTAGTCATGTGTTTTCTTTTCATAATACAAACTAAGTCATGCATTCATTGTCTTATATGAAAGAGGTATTTTGGGGAATATTTTGCTATTAATACTTTTCCAGGCTGGGGTATCAGTGTTGGAACATTTACCTAATATGTACAAGGTCTTTGGTTTGATTTCTATCTCTGTAAAAACAAAAAATTTAAAAGAATACTTTTTTTTTAACTGCAGGGTATTATCCATTTCTTTCAAATTCTAATATTCATCAGCAGTAGGAGGTTGAGAAATTTTCACTGCACAATTTCATAGTGTTAAATTATCAGTAAATACAAAATATGGAAATGGGATTTACAGGAGCCGTAGTTTGTATGGTAAGGTTTCACTCTTGAGATTTCTTATCATAGTGTATATGAAGGAGTCTAAAAATACTGCCCTCTGTTTCCTACTTAGATTTCAGACTTCTAGAGACACAAGCCATGGAGTCATGCAGAATTTAAAATTGATGAAAGTTATTGACTCCTGCTGTCACATGAAATTGCTAGTAACTGCACTGCTGGATTTTATATTTCCTAAATTTGTCACTGGTGCAGGTGGCCAACCAAAAGTTTGGAGAAGTAAAATTGTTACCTTTTCCAAAAGATTGAAACCACAGAAAGGATAAGCTGGGCAGTGGTGGCGCACGCCTTTAGTGCCAGCACTTGGGAGGCAGAGGCAGGCAGATCTCTGTGAGTTCTGTGCCAGCCCAGTCTACTGAGTGAGTTCCCAAGGCAGCCAAAGCTATTACACAGAGAAATCGTGTTTTGAAAAACTAAACAAACAAACAAAGAAGACCACAAAAGAGGCTGAAGCATACATATCCACTCCTCTAGGTAGCTAACTAGCTATTGGACTGGACTCTTCACTGTATTGCTGAGACTGGTGTCTTGACCGCCTGGCCTCACATGTCCTTATTGTCTTAGCCTCTAGTTAGCTGGGCCTATAAATGTGCAGCACCATTCCTGGCCCTTCTCAGTATATTAATCTCATCAGTTATCCCTGTTCAGGCGCTGAAGGGGATGAAGGTAGCTGCCAAGTAAGGCAGAGAGGGCCAGAGGTGTCATTGTGACAGATAATGTTCTACTAGGAAGCTGGAGGCCAGTAGGAAAGAAGTTGTTATCCTCATCATTTTATTTTCCAATATATGCTTTTAGAATTGAGAGATAACTCACATATACTCTGATGTATAGATTTTAAATTGCTATTAGGTGGGTTTTGATAAATGTGTTCATGTACTCACTACTAAAATCATGACGTGAAACATTTTAACACTGTTATAAGTGGATTCACAGTAAGATATCTTTAAATATTGATCTTAATTTGTTTAAAATGTTGAAATCTAGCATAGCTTCTGCTGCCTCTGGATCAGTGGTTCTCAACCTTCCTAATGCATGATGCTTTAATACAGTTCCTTTATATTGTGGGGACTCCCAACTATAAAGTTGTTTTCATTTCTGCTTTGTAACTATAATTTTGCTACTGTACTAAACATAATGTAAATGTCTGATATGCAGGATATCTGCTATGCAGATCTCTGGGGGTCATGACCCATAGGCTGAGAACTGCTCTGGATGAAGAATTTAATGAGCCTTCCCTAAAATGTTTTCATATTAGTGTAGGGCAATAATTATTTAAAGACTAAATTTTTCATTTTTGTTTTTTAACTAATTACTTTTTTTTTTCATTTTGAGACAGAGTCTTTCTATGTAGACCAGGCTGCCTAGAACTCACAGAGAACCATCTGCCTCAGCCTCCTGTGTGCTGGGATTAGAGGTGTACACCATACCTGGTCTTAATTTAGAGTTCTTAAACAAATGGATTGTTCTGTGTGGAGTTTAGTTAAATACTTTATATATTCTAGTGTATACATTGGGCCGGAAGTGTTGATGCATACCTATAAGCAGTATTTCAGTTCGGTGGCTGAGGCAGGAGGATTGAGTTCCATACCAACCTGTGATATATAGTAAGGCCTATCTCAAAAAAGCAGGACAAGTTGCTGGAGAGAATGATGCTGTGTTTAAGAGTGCTTACTGTTCTTGCAGAGGACCTGAGTTTAGTTCCCATATCTAATGGCTCATACCACCTGTAACTCGAGGTCCAAGAGGTCTGATACCCTTGTTTGGCCTCCAGGGCACCCCAGTCCAGGCACGAGTGCATGTATGCACATATAATTAAAAGTTAAATTTAAAACCAAACAGCTCAAACCCTAGACTCTTAAATTGACCTTGTTGCACTCATTTTAAAATGTACGCTGCTATATTAATGCTTTCGATAACATGGAGTTATCGTGAGTGAGTAAGCACTCACAGGCACCATTTGTCTTTCCTTTACTACTGGCACACTATAACTTGTAAGTGTGTGAGACAAAGAGTCAGTAACTGGATAGCCTGCTGGAAATAAAAATTTATTCCTTTATTTACCCAATAATGAGTGCTGAGTGTGCGCCCCCTTGACAAGTACAGTGCATTGACTACAACAACAAACAAGGTGCCAATACAGTATACTGGAGATGCATCTGAACAATTTAGCACTTTGCAGACAGAGGCAGGCCTGCTCTACGTAGCATGGTCAAGGCTAGCTAGTACCCTTAACTGCTGTGCCATCTCTTCTGTCCTAGGAATTTTTGTTTGTTGTTTTTTATTTTTAGAGACAGGGTTTCTCTGTGTAGCTTTGGAGCCTGTCCTGGAACTAGCTCATGTAGACCAGGCTGGCCTCAAACTCACAGAGATCCACCTTCCTCTGCCTCCCAAGTGTTGGGATTAAAGACATGTGAACCCCTCCACCCCCCAAGCTGGAAAGATATTTTTTAAAACAACCATTAAGGGTACATTTTAAAAGTTCTACAATAGGAAATGAACTGTGTGAAAGACACATTTGTTGTGCTGTGAGGTGTGATGGTTGTGAAGAGGAAACTTGTTCAGCTGCAGATTGTTGGAAGTACTTGCTATTCTGTGGAGAACCTGTCTGTTTTTAAATTAGAAAGAACAAACTGTGTCTTTAATGTGTTTACTTTCTCACTGATAAATAGGTTGTCACTTAAAGGAGGAAAAAAACCTAGCTATATTTATTGTTGGTGATAAAACTAGAGTTTTTCAAGATCAGATTAAAAATTTGGGAAACTTAAATCATATTTGTTACATTGATAGTTTCCCAATATTTAATATGCTTTCTTAAAAATGAGATTGGTGGTGGTATAATAAATTTAATAATTGAAGTAGCTTAGTGAGGTATGTCAGCACTTGGAGATAAACAATTCACTGACTAATGCTTTTTTAGTGACTAATGCAGAAATGAAAGATTTAATGTGCAAGAGACCAACAGATTTTTTGTAATAGTTGGAAATGATCAAGGGTATTAATTCTGATTTCACATGGCAGCTAACTGTTGAAGAAGTAGCACTTGGCTGTATTATCACAACATATCCACAGTTATCTGAGAGGGGTGTAAACTACTACCTTTTCAACTGTATGCAGAAGACATGGTTGCATTTCCACATCTACTCAGTCACAACAACACATTATAAAAGACTGAATATAGGCGATAAATGATTCTGCCATCTTCTGCTGAGCCACACATTGAAGCACTTGTGGTTTTGTTCAGCAGGAAAACGGTGCTTGGCACCAAACCTGACAACTTGAGTTCCTTCCCTGAGAGACCTGTAGGGTAGAAGGAGAAAATATACCCCTCAAATCACAAAGGTGCCTGGCATGAGCATACTTGTAAGTACATACATACATACACACACCACACACACACACACACACACACACACACACACACACACACACACACACACACAGTTAATAAATGTAAAATAAGAGAATAGAAGCAAAATATGAAACTAAATATAATTTGCAAAACTGCTTTCATGACTACTTTTTCTTAAGTCTGTCTGGTTTCTTCAGTAAGGCATTAGAATATTGGAAAAGAGTCGTTGATAATTTGTGATATTCGTGATGTCTTAATCATAAATGGAGTTACTAGTTCCTATTTGAGTTAAACGGACAGTTATTTTTAAAATTTGTGGTACCTTATTACTTGTACAGTCCAGGGCCATTTGGAATGTACATGGAGGCTAATTCTACCTTGTGCAATGGTTCTCAATCTGTGGTTCATGACCCCCTTGGGAGGTGTTGAGCAACCCTTTCATAGGGGTCACATATCAGATATTTTCATTATGATTCATGACAGTACCAAAATGACAGTTCTGAAGTAGCAATGGAAATTATTTTATGGTTGGGGATCACGACAACATGAGGAACTGTATTAAAAAGGGTTGCAGTATTAGGAGGGTTGAGAACCACTGGTCTAGTGGGAACATTATATATATATATATGTATGTATGTATGTATGTATGTATGTATGTATATATATATCCTTCACCATGTGATGGCTAGAATATTGAAGTTTCTGATTTCTTTTCTGTGAACAGATAATCTCAGTGACACCTTAAAGAAACTGAAGATCACAGCTACTGACAGGACAGAGGACTGTTTAGAAGGATGCTTGGATTGTCTGCTTCAAGCCTTGGCTCAAAATAGTAAGTTTCATTGTTTATTCAAATTCCAGACTGAAAAGGATCAAATTGGCATTGTTTAGAAATCAGTACATAGTTAGGACATATAACGTGTATTCACATATTCTGAATTCTTTTGAATCTTATTCTTGAATGCTGAAATTGTTTCCAATGTTCTATCCGCCTACCCACCCTTCACCAAAAACTACTCAAAACCCAACTGATAGTCAGAGAACAGAGAAATTGATTGGTGATGACATTTATACCAGCTCCAGAGAGGAACCATTATGGGTTTTCCCCCTCAACACCTACACTTGTACTTTTATAACCAAACAAAAGACAAAAGATTAAACAGTTTATGTGTAAGGTGGAGACAGGAGAAACCAAAGGGGGATTAAAAGACTTAACAGGGTTTTTCTTAGTGCTTCTCTCTTAGCTTTTAAAAGAATTTTAAGATCATATTTTTATCTGTAACCATTAGTCTTTACACTGACTGCCCAAGCCCTGCCGCCACGTGGGTGCTTTCTGCCAGTCTCCCGAGTTCTGCCTGCCACATTAGGGCCCCAAATAATACACAGAGACTTATATCAGGTACAATGCTTCTGGCCAATCCCTAGGGTTTCTTACTTGCTAGCTCAGTCTTAATTATCAACCATAATCATAAGACTTATCTCATGGAGGATGCAGGTCTTGCTAGCAGTTTTGTGGCAGCTCCACAGAGAGGAGGAGGAAGAGCAAGAGAACGACTTCCTTCTTGTCCTTGCTTATATATAAATCCACCTGTTGTGTCACTTCCTGCCTGTATCACAACACTTCCTTTTACTACATTTCCCAGAATCCATTTCCCAGACTCCTTTTGACTCCTAGTCCCACCTATCTTGCTTTCCTATTGGCCAACAGTGCTTTATTCAACAACCAATAAGATAAACATATGCAGAGAAGGACATTCCCCATCATTTATCCATAGAGTAAATTGGAAAGGACTATCAGTGGTCACACAAATTTCTCAAAACCTCAGGCCAAGCTTGATGGTCAGTGTCCGGTAAATAATCCAGAGAGAGAAATCACATAATTCTTCATTGACTATCACAATGTATTATTGCACTTGATAGATCATGTTTCTATTCACTAATTTTGTGTTATCATAGTAGGATATGTAAATGATCTTCAGTTGTTTCCATAATCCTACTTGGTTCTACTGTATTGATATTTGATTATGCTATTTTCCTGGTGGACTAATTATGTAGCTCTGTCCAGGAATTCAGGGGAGAGTATATTGTCATAGTTTTAATTTCAAGCACTCAGAGATGGGTATATTTCTTTAGTTTTTATTAAACTGCCAAGAAAATACAAAATAATTGGTTACAGTACTCTTCATCAAACAGAGCACATTTTGAAACTAACCATTATCTACTTTTCTTGTCACTGTGGCAAGAACACCTCGAAGGAAGAAAGATTTCTTTTGGCTTATGATTTCAGTCCATCATGGCAAGTCATGGTAGGATGGAGTCGTTCAGCTACCAGCGACCAGGAAGTGGAGAAAGGAAAGCGTTGGGGACTTTTAAAGGAAAACCATTCCTAATCAACTTTCTTTAGCTAGTACTGATTCCAGAAGTTTCCACCGTCTCCTCAGATAGCACTGCCAGCTGGTGGCCACACTTCAACACATGAGGCTGTCATGGCATTTCAGATTCATGCCGTAACATAGCCTTTAAAATTGAGTGTTGTTTCAGTAACCTTTCCTTTTGAGATTGTAGCTCTGTCTAGCTATTTAATACAGTGATGACAGATGAGTTGAGACAAAAAGTTCAATGAGAACATTTGTATAATGCTCAAGATGGTAAAGAAAAAAGAAAAAAATGTCTAATCCTATGCTAGCCATCACAGTTGGAGCTTGACTGTTCATACTTAGTAAAATTAAACTTCAAATGGACTTCTTTGATTTTCAGTGGCCTGCCATGTGATGACTTACGTAGATCACAGCTGTACCACATTCCCATAACCATAGGAAGCTTTTTGAATAGCACTGGTCTGGCAACTAGAACAGGGTGACCTGATTTACAGGTGCTTATGCCGGCAGTTTTCCCCAATAGCATACTTCTCTTAAGCAGATCAGCATAAATAGCCTTTCTTTATTTTCCATTGTCAGTGCATTTTTTCCCTCTGTTTATTTGGGGGTGGTATTTTTAAAGGAAACCGTTAGCTTTAGAAACTGAACGATATAAAGATGGTTTTCTTGGTAACTTGTGGAGAGTTGTGAGTCTTTCTCTGGAAAGTGTGAAAGGCCAGAGTTGAGGAAGGAAAGTGACAAAGGGAGCAAAGGTAACGCCCTTCAAATGACAGAGTCAAGAAACATTGCCTGCTATGAGTGTTGGATTCAGTTCAGAACTTGCATGCAGACTTGCTGAACTTCTTTCTTGAAAATGGTCTCAGGATTGTGTAAAACAGAATCTTGAGGTCATAAACCCATAAGGTGTTTGACAAAACCAACAGACTATGAACTAAAGGCTTCCCAGGAAGATAATGAAAAAGTGTTTCATTAGAGTCTGAGATAAAGTTTATAAATGCTCTCATTTCTAAGACTACTAAAAGCATTTGAAATAGGAAGACATTCTTGCAGTTGTCCAATATTTAACCCAGAAAGTCATTTGAAAGCTTATTACTGAAGAAAGTATAATTTTGAAGTATCTACACTGTGACTTTGGCATATTTGAATTGTATATTATAAATGATTACAATCTGAAATTAGAATTTTAAAATATTTTTAAATTAAGTTTTTTATTTTTTTTAATTAAAATATAATTACATCATTTTTCCCTTTCCATTTTCTTTCCCAAACTCCTCCCATATCTTCTCTCAAGTTCATTCCTAAATATATAGATAAAACCTGCTTTGTCTGCATAATGTTACTTGTATGTATATGATTTCTGGGCTGATCACTTGGTGTTGGTTATTCAATTTGGAGGCTCTACCCTGGGATTCCTCAATTGCCTGTAGTTCTCCATCTGTGTTTAGGGCCTTATATGATTTGCCTTTTTCATGTTGGCACATCTGTTGGTGTTGTCCTTGTTCGGGTCTTGTTTAGGCAGCATGTTGTTGAGCCATCATGGGTTTAGTTTCTCTGGCATTTCTAGGAGACACAATCTCACAGCAAACCATTGCTTCTTTGAAGAAGCTCTTAGCATCTCTCTGGCTCCTCTTCCTCTATGTTCCCTGAGCCTTAGGTTTGGAGCTGTGTTGTAGATCAGTCAGTTGGGGCTAGGCATTGTAATTGATGTGGTTTTCTATAATGGTTGCAAAGAGAAGTTTCTTTTTTTGAGAAGTACATTTACCTGTGGGTTTAAGGATAAATGTTTAGAATGCAGTTAGGCATTACTTACATTGGTTTAGAGAAGTGGTGGGTGTAGGTTTTTCAGATTTATGACTTCCCAGACCCAAGAAGTTGGTGGCTAGGTTTTTAGTGCAAGGTGTGATTTCCCAGTTGTTGAGACTGTCTTAAATCCAATTAGAGAGCTGTTGGTCACTGCCTCCATTTCATCCTTTGGGCCATCATGCCGTGTTGGCCATTGTTGTGCTTCATAGGCATCATAGTAGGGTAGCATCCTTCCCTTAGAAGCATGCTTGCACCTGGTGGTAACATGAAAGCTAGTCCTTAGGGAAGAGGCTTTCAGGTTAGATAAAACTCAGATCTCTGGGTTCTATGTCCAAAGAGCATGGTATCTTCAGCAGTAAGGACTTAGCTTCAACCTCTAGGAGGCAACAAGGACAACATTCTGTAATGTTTCGGGAGTCTATTGGACATCCCTGACAAACAACTTGTAAGGGGCTTCTCATTCATACATAGTCTTGGGGGTTCAGTAGTGTATGGTTTTTGGGGTAGAGGATAAGTATTACCAGCGCAGATGAGAAATTTTTATTTACATTATATATGTGTACACATAGATTTATATGAAATTTTAGGTAAGTAAATAATAGTATAATTCCTTATGACCTTTTCAGATACCTTTACTGTTATTTTTATCCCTTTTCCTTTTGCTTCTTTGGTGTTGAGACAGGGTCACACTAGGTAGTAGTGGCTGTCCTGGAACTTACAGACATCTTGCCTACCTCTGCCTCGCAAGTGCTCCGATTAAAGCCATATGCCACCATGCCAGGCTTCCTTTTACTAATTCTTTGAGAATTTTGAATGTGCATACGATGTATTTTGATCATTTTCACTCTTGCTCCTCCCTCTAACTTTTCTACCATCTAGTGTTACCAACTTCATATCTTTTGTGTGTCTGTGTGTGTAGTTAATGACTGAATCTAATTTATGGTATCTATATACTTGCGGGGGTGGGGCCATCCACTAGAATGTGATCTACCTACCAGGAAATATACCCATAAACAAAACTGACTCTCTTCTCCTAGTAACCAAAATTGCCAATGGCTTCCCAACTAGAGGTTAGAACTTGTGAGCTCTTCCTCCTCCATTCTGGAATGGTGGCTGCCTTGGTCTTGTCAAGTAACCAGAGCACTGTGACTTATGACTGCATCAGTCCTGTCATGTCAGAAGCCCTTGACAACTTACGACACTTAAACATTTCTGCCCTCTCCTTCTCACTGTTGGCAAGGGGTGACACACATGTCCCAATTCTGCCTGAATATTCTAGTCACTTGATCACTGTGCTTTGGCTGCCTCTGAGTTCTGCATTAACATTGTTGACTGCACAGAGAAACTGCATTGATGAGGACCGAAAGCTTCATCAAACTGTGGTAGTTTGATACTATGTCAGTTTAGCAAAATAAAAGCAGACTCACCCCTGGAGCCTGTGAGCTCTCCAATTTTGGGTTCTAGGTCAGTTTACAGTGCCAGGCATATGTTTTCTCCTACATCGCAGGCCAAAATTTGAAGCAAAAAGAAGTTGTTTACTCTGATAACCTTTGTGCCATTATCCCTTCCTTGGGCATATCTTGCCAGGTCACTCTTTATTGTAGCTCATGGGGTTAGTAGCTGGGTAAGACGACTGATTGGAAAGCTTCCT